ATATATATATATATATATATATATATATATATATACAGAGAGAGAGAGAGAGAGAGGGAGAGAGAGATATATTTATATAGATTTATATAGATAAATAAATAAATAAAATGTATATATATATATATATATATATATATTTATATATATATATATATATATATATATATATATATATATAGAGAGAGAGAGAGAGAGAGAGAGAGAGATATAGATAGATAGATATATAGATATATGTGTGTGTGTGTGTGTGTATTTAGGCAGCAATCCTTCTTTCAGGCACATTCAATTGAATACGACAGATAAGGAATTTTTATTTAGTTTTTTCTTATACAATTTCTCATGCGAACTAATTTTTTTTTCTTTTGGAATGATAAATTATATAAAAACTCTCCGAATGTTCTTTTTATCCGAGCGCTTTCGGCTATACATTTAGCCATTTTCAAGGATATATTTTAACTGATAAAATTAGAAATACTTTGTTGTATGTATGTTTTAGAAAATGTTTTCATTTTTTAAAACACAATGAAGATATTATGTCCATGTTCAATGTTAATATTACTAAGTGTTGGCTTTTTTCTTTTTCTTAATAAGGCTTCCATTATTTTTAGCCTTTTTTTGCATGTAGATGATGCTATTATATTAGTGTTGTCAACAAGTATGTTACGAATAGTGTCCAGTAGGTCTTCATGAATATTTAAATGAGATCTATTTGAGCTATGGTATAAATGTATAGCCGAAAGCGCTAGGAATAAAAGAACATTCGGACAATTTTCATATAATTTATCATCCGAAAAGAAAAAAAAATATTAGATCGCATGAGAAATTGTATAAAAAACAAAATAAAAACACCTTGTCTGTCGTATTCAATGAAAATATATATATATATATATATATATATATATATATATATATATATATATATATATTTGTTGATTTTTTATTTTTTTTTTTAAGTAGTATTTCCAATGTCAAAATTGTGATCACTTTCTTTACGATGAACAAGCATCGCGTTCTGCGTTTTTCTTTTTAATTTTCCCTTTTGCGTTCATATTGTCTTTTGTTTAAACCTCTTGAGGTTTCTCTAATGTATTCATCTTAGCAATTGCTGCATTTGATAAAGTAAATTTCTCCTTCAAGTGGTGTCTTATCAAGTGATGATGTTGAATGTAGAATAAAGGTTTTTAAAAGGCTCAAATCAATCAAACACCCCTTGCAAGGGGAAACGCTGTTACATAAGCTGGAATGACCAATCAAAATACAAGTATATGAGAAGTGAAAAAAATCTTCACAGTGAACCTTGGTTATAATTATTAAGGCATCAATGTTAGGGTTAGACTAAAATACAAATCATTCTAACTAATTAATATTAAATTTTACAATAAAAGGAGGGGGTGTTTGGTCGATTTGAAACTTTTAAAACCCTTTATTGTACATTCAAGACTATCACTTGAAAAAAAATGGCTATTTTTGTAGTGATTTTATAACATATTTTTGCTATAATTTTCGAATGAATTATTTATATATATATATATATATATATATATATACATATAAATGGAATAGATCCTTCTTAATGTTTTAAATATATATGTGTGTGTGTGTGTTTGTGTGTGTGTGTATTCCAATCACGCTTAATTACGAGCTTTCTCATGTAAGCCTTTCATATCTCCGATTAATATAATCGAACATGCATCAGTATAAAATCATAGTCTATATAAGAGGAATTCCTTTTCACTAAACTTTCCTGATTGGAATCACAATTCTCAAATCGCTTTGTTTCACGACATAATTCATATTATCTCTTACGTTAAACGGTACTTAAGACGCCTGTGACGAAAAGAAGGAAGTCCATAATAGTAACAAGAATATAAAAAAAAAATTATCTCACTCGAAAATCCATTTTTGCAGAAAGAAAATATAAAAATAATAATGCATTTAATATCGATTTTTATTTTACTTTTCACCTAATTATTATTCCCATGAGGAAGTCTTACGGCCCATATCAAGTTGAAACAACGGTTCCCATACGATCACAGAAGTTAGTCAACATCGAGCCTGGTCATAAACTAGATAGTTGGCCGCTTGGGAATACCAAGTATTGTAAGCTTGGTTATTCAAATGGAGCAGTGGATAACGTTTTTGAATTGTATATCGGAAAATCGTGTTCTAATTCCAATCGGCTTTGTTATATTCACTTCTGCGCAATTACTGTTGGAAAAGATGTGAATCCGTCTCTTCTCCTACCAGCTATGGGTTAATTAGTAGAACTTATATCAGTAAATCATTATTATTTCCAAGAAACACTTACAATCTAAAGACATTTTCTGGCTTTAAATAAACTGCAGAAGAGCGATCCCAGGACTCATATATGTGATCCATAGCTAAAGAACCCGAGGAAATGGTCAGCTGCCTATCCCGCCCCAGAAAGTATATGGGTCCTTCTGTCATGCTTACTTTGTCGAAAATAACGTTTTGTAGCTGAAACGGTGGGAATTTGCTTCTATGCTCGCGAAAAAAAATAATTGACTTTATTTTTTGGATCGTCCCTGGTAGCCATGTAATAAAATAATGAATAAAGAACAAAAACAGAAAGAAAGAAAACAAAAAAGAAAATGAAAAAAATAACATAGAAAAAAATTAGAACAAAAGCGGAAAAGACGGTATAAGAATGATTAATCCATAAAACGAAAGAAAGAAAGAAACGAACAAATAAACAAACAAACAAACAAAAAACATAAAAATATGTAAAATAAAAAGGGATGGCTGGAGATATTAAAGTAAAATAAAAAAAGAAAGAAAGAACAGAGATAGATGGAAAAAGAAAAGAAAAAAGAACGTAACAATGAGGAATGATGTAAGTACAATGAATCAAAGAAAGAAAAATAAATAACAGAACATATAACACAGAAAAACACACAAAACAAAAAAGAAAGAAAGAATAAAGAAAGAAAGAAAGAATAAAGAAAGAAAGAAAGAAAGAAGAAGAAACTAAGAATGAACGAATAAAAGAAAAATCGAAAGTGGAAAAGCAACAAAGAAGAAGAAAAGTGACAAAGAGAAAAGGAAAAGAAAAAAGTAGTAAAAATGGCGTAGGAAAAACATGGAAAAGAAACAAACAAAAACAAAAAAAAGAAACGAAGAAAAACAAAAACAAATAAACAATAAAAAAAGCATGAAAACAAAAGACAGAAAATAGAAAAGATGAAAATAAATGCTCAAAATATATAAAAAATAAATAAATAGATGTACAACCATAAATCAAATAAAAAAAAACACAAAAAAAAGGAAAAAGAAAGTAAAGGAAAAAGGAAAGAAGAAAGAAAAGAATCATACACAAGGGATGGGAGAATAGAGAAAGACAGAAACATAAATATATAGGTGGTCAATTAAACCCAATTGATTCCCGCCGTGATGGACAGGAAGTGAAATGTAGCAGCCAAATTTCCTGTCTTCGGAGGGAGTCAATGGTATTGTCAGCCCAAACTCATTACGTGTCAAATTGACGACGTAGCCAGTGGGCCAATAAAAGAGCATACGGACAAAAACGGTAGGGAGTAAGCTCAATAGATTACACAGCCAACAAACGGTGTAATCAAGGAGAAAAAACTCACAGGAAGTATATTAATTTACTCGAGCGGCGATACATATTTTTATTATCTAGATATTGTGGATTTTGTGGCGTAAAAGACTGCTTTCAGGCTTAAACTCGAACTAACCAGTTAATGGAGCATTCCCTTTGCCAGAAAAGCGGGATATCCACTGCAGTTGGTTATAGTGTCCAGTTTTAACGAAGATCTTTTCTGTGATGTCTCTCTTCATGAACTGGTCTGTCATGACTCTCCACAAATACCAACGTTTCGTAGCTCTAAGCAATGTTTTCAAATATCCCTCCTTTTCCTGCTATCCATTTACACTAGCTCGTTAATATGTTGCACAATATTTCCTTTTACCCAATATATTTCGTGAGTATCAAATTCCCCAAGTTCATTTTCTCATTACGTAGCCCTAGAAACTTCAACTGCCACTTAGCGGAATTTTATTGCCTTTACCTTTAAAACTTGTTCACGTATACGGCTCATGGCATCCTCATCATCTTTTCGTAGAACCACATCCCTGTTACCGCCTCTTCATGTAAACGAAAATTATCCAGAATTCACTGACATATGAGAGAAACAATTTTTTTTAATCATTTGATTCTAAATAGCCATTCAGACGCAAACCGAGAGAATATAAGAAAAAGAAAAGCATTATTAAAAGAGAGAGAGAACAATAAAAGAACAGAGATCAAGACGGCAGATCACGATTTACATTACATTTAAATTTTTAAAGATCAAAGTCGACTAGAAAACAAGAAGAGAGTTCCACACGCGAGAAATACGGGAGGAAACTACTAGAATAGAACTTGCAGTTAGATCTAGCCATGTTAACTGATGAGACCTTGCCAATCTAGTCGCACGCTTAATTTTTTGAAAATCTAGGTACCAAATAAGAAAGCTCATGAGAATAATTATCATAAAAATTGTCATATAGGAAGAAAATGAGTAACTACTGACACCGTTGTTCGAGCGTGACACTCTGGACTTATGAATATATTTTCTTCGCCAGGTGTATAAATAACGGTGTCAGGCTACTGACTGCGGTGATTATTGTGTGACTATTGAGTGGAACTATCCAGTCGAATTAGTGTGAGTTATTGTGCGTCGATGATTTGGGTTTTGATTTAGGATTTAATGGAAGTTAAGCCGAGCCGCTCTACTAACAAGGTATTTACTGGAAGGTTTAATTATTTTTGGTTCAGTTTTACTTCTTTGTTATTGGTAAGTATTTATTTGCGGTTGTAATTAAATACTGTTTTATCTTAATATCTTGGATTATATTTAATTATTAAATATTATTATTATTGTACGTCATACAAAAATTATTTACATAAATATCACAGAGAATCTACGTTACGGCTGTGGGGAAGTAGCCGCATCCGAGATGCCAGGTCATAGCCAATAACGTTACAGATTCTTCTTTGTATTTTATCAAGAATCTATTGATACATAGCAGAATCATCAGGCCGATCATAATATTTCAGACCTTCTTCCTGGCCAATGCTAACCTCCTGGAGATGAAACGTTGCACCTTCCCGGGTTTATATCATCACCCGACATAAAAGACTACATTTAATCCATTGCGAGGTCAGCTGCTAAAAAAAATTGGTCCACTATTTCGAGCTATTCAATGAAATCACCATTTGCTTCAACGAATGACTCCAAACAATCTCGAAATTTGCAACATGGAGGAGTCTCAGGGGAGTCTCCTTGTTTAAGTTCGTGAATGCTGCCATAATCCTTGCCTCCAGTTTATCTTTGGGGTTCTAATGAGTTTTATTGCTCTGTCACTCAATTGTAATTGTGCTTGTCCCTCCCTCTTTTCGTTAGTTAGCCCGACCGTTATGTCCTGTCAGTATCTCATGAATAATGAACTTTTCCGCGTAGAAAGAGTGGAAGGATATTATGTTGGTTTCAATAAGAATATGAAAGAAAGACGAAAGAAAGAATGAAAAATAAAGGTTCATCCGTTGTTTCCTGTTTAGACTTGGGTTTCCGGTCTACTTGAACTCTGACATTTTATTCGTTAATTAAATCTTGACCAATTCAAGTTTAGAATTAGCTGTCCATCTTTCCTGTTATCTTGCCCTTTCTTACGCTAATACAAATCCACACATTAACGATCTACTTTGAGTGGTCTTTGAGCCTTGTATTGTGTGAACATTAGTCTAAAAAAATGTACACGCACGGAGAGAGAGGGGGGGAGGGAAGTTCTTCATCTCACCAAAAAATATTTAAAATTCATATTCAATTGTTCAGTTATTTGGTCAGATTTTAGGAAGAGTCACATGTCACCTGATATTCTCTTTGAATAGATTATTGCTTTTCAATCTTTAATGACAATAACCAAACAAGAGTATATGTGTGATTTTTGCATTTATTATTATTATTATTATTATTATTATTATTATAGACTACAGAAGAACAGGCAGTGTTTCAATGTAATTATTCCAAAAGGAATTATTTTTCCTCGTTTTCTAAAGACTTTTTCATTCGGCTAATATACTCTTCAAATCCACTGAAATGCCTCTTCGATTCATATATCAAAGACTGCATAAAAATAAAACACTGCTTGGATTATCAAACATAGGATTTACAAGAATTATTGTTTCGAAACAATTGATTTTGATTCTATGTCGATATCTTCATTTTCATTGTTACGTATCCGGCTTTGAAAAAATCCTACAAAATTTGTGGTTTGTACTTAATTTAATATATAATGTTGGGTTTCCAGTTCCTTAAACTTCGTACTTTGGACCACTCTTCCTGAAATCTGAAATTCTATTTGGTAATTGTTGTTATTTAGTTTTGCTTATTGTCCAGTTCAGACTCCTTCCTGGTCTTCTGAACAAGAGTCCATCTCTCTGTTCCTGTTTAGAGTTGGGTTTCCAGTTCCTTCTGAAGTCTACTTCAACTCTCTACTCCTAACGTCTCTGTCCGAACTCTGAAATTTTATTCGCTAATTAAATCTTGACTTCTTCAAGTCAAGAATTTAGATGTCTACCTTTCCTGTTATCTTGGCCTTTCTTACGCTAATACAAATCCTCGCAGTAACCATCTACCTTGAGTGGCCCTTGGGCTTTGTATTGGTTGAAAATTAGTGAAAAAAATGCACACACACACACACACACAGACGAAATGTCTTCATCTCACCAAGAAAATATTTAAAATTAAAATTCAATTGTTCCGTTATTTGATCAGAATTTAGGAAGAGTTTAAGTAATTTTCAGCACTTCCTCAAATGTCCCCTGAAATTCTCTTTGAATGGTTTATTGCTTTTCAATCTTTAGCATTTGGTCTTCACCAATTAATGTTAAAATATATAGGATTGGGTTTCCGATTCTTTCAACTTTGTACTTCTGATGTCTCTCTCTGAAATTATATTCAGTAATTATTTTTTCCTCTCCAAAAAAGGAGGAAATAGGTTTGCCTTTTCTCCTGTTCACACTCGTTCTCGGGCTTTTGAACAGATGAAGAGATTTATTCTTTGATTTCTGTTTAGGTTTGCATTTACGGTCCATTCTAATGTCTTCTTCAACTCTACACTTCTAGCGTCTTCGCCTGAACTCTGAAATTTTATTCGCTAATTAAATCTTGAATCTAGAATTAGCTATCTTTCCTGTTATCTTGGCCTTTCTTAAGCTAACAGAGTAACGATCTCATTAGTAAAAAGAAAAAGTTTAATTTGTATGTAATATTAAATACACACACACACATATATATAAATAGTAAATTTAGTAACCATTTAATAATAAAAAACCTTTCATATATATATATATATATATATATATATATATATATATATATATATATATGTGTGTGTGTGTGTGTATGTATGTATATATATGAAAGGTGTTCTTATTAAATGGTAACTAAATTTACTTATATTTAAATATATTAATTAACTAATTAATTGGTATATCCATTAATATTAGACAGAAATAATGCAAATAAGTAGAATTTAAATTTTTTTTTTTACCATTTTATAGTTATTTTTTTATCACCATATTTTATTAATGTTTTTCATAGAAAGATTAATTTTAGTATAAAACTTGTTTGTTTTTATTCAATTTTATTAACTCTTTCTTATCTATCTATCTATCTATCTATCTATCTATCTATCTCTCTCTCTCTCTATATATATATATATATATATATAATTGTGTTTTTTTTGGCGTTTTACTAATCACTGCTAGAAGGTAAAAGAAAACAATATAATTTCTTTTTATTCTCTTCCAAATTGATACATAAAAAAAAATTTGTGATCTGATTTGGCAGTCAGTATCACTTTTCATATCAATGCCTCAAATTTACGATAAAAAATTCAATTTATTTATAACCTACCTTAAATCTATATTTTTATCATATATATATATATATATATATATATATATATATATATATATATATATATATATATAAACAGTTATAATGTAGGAGTAGATAGGTTTGCCTATCGTCCGGTTGACACTCCTCCCGCTTTTTGAACTATAGTAGTGGTTCATTTCTTGGTTGTGGTGGGAGAATCAGATTAAGCTGATATGACCAGATATTACATTCTGATCTAAACCAAAAAGCCGAGAAGACACGGCAGCTACGATAAAAACGGCGTTTTTCAGACACAGGGGATTTGGCTAAATCGGAAGATAAAAGTGTTTAACACCCCCTACTAATACCTCAGGAACAAGGAGGGAGCTTATACTTAACATAAGGAAGATGCTGATGACATTTCTCGGACACTTCATGAGAAAGGAGGGCCTGGAGAATCTGATACTCACAGGTCGAATAGCGGGAAAGAGAGACAAGGGAAAGCAATGTATGACATAGTTGGCAAGTGGCTGACAGAACGTGGTCTGGAGAATGTGGCAGAGGTACAAAACTTATTGAGAGCCACAGGGAATAGGGGGAAGTGGAGAGCCATGATCGCCTACGTCCTGAAAGGACACGGCCCATAAAAAGAAAAGAAAGACCAATACCTCGTAAATAATGGACTATTCCGTGTTTGGATTGTGTGAAAAGAGGGAAAAAGATAATACTTCGTTCCAATGATAAAATGGGAAAGAAAAACGAAAGATTGAAGTGGAGAGAGAAAAAGAGAATCGTATTAAACAGATACGAACAGTTACTGCACTTTGATCTTAGCCAAAAAGCTGAGCAGAGATGGAAGCTGCGATAAAATCTCATTCATTTTTTTTCTTTCTTTCATTTTCTCACTGAAACCAAGTAGTGTCTTTTCACCTCTTCCCACATGATCAAAACTGGATAGTCCAATATTTATGAGATATTGGCAGGAGACGTTAGGCACTTCAATCTCTCCCTCTTTCTTTCTTCTTTCTTTCTTTCTTTCTTTCTTTCTTTCATTTTCTCACTGAAACCAAGTATTGTCTTTTCCTCTCTTTTCATGCAATAAAAAGGGAATTATCCAATATGTATGAGATATTGGCAGGAGACGTTAAGCACTTCTATATTCTCTTCTCTTCCCTTCTCTTTTCTTTCTTTCTTTCATTTTCTCACTGAAACCAAGTAGTGTCTTTCCCCCTTTTCCACAAGATTAAAAAGCAACAGTCTATTTTTTACGAGGTAGCGTCAGAGCATAACGGTCGTACCAATGAACGAAGGAAAGGAAAAGCACAATTAAAACAGGATATTATTATTAGTAGTAATATTGCCGCTGCTTAGATCTTATTCATTTACTGTCCAGATTCCTATCTGAGAATTGCCCTAACTTCTTCAGAAATATGGTGGAATAATTTGAATTTAGAGCCAAATCAATGTATTTCAGGAAAAGACAGATTCATGCCTTTCCTCAAGGGAAAAGCGTGAAATTAAATTCAATAGATTGACTCACCAATTCCGCTTTTCCACGCCCATAACTCTTACTTAAAAACTACCACTTCTAATTCGAAGTCATAAGTTTATTGATAAATTAAAAGTTGTAGCTATTATGCTACTTAATTAAAAGATGTAAAGGGGAAATTATTGAATTAAAAGGCGTAGTTATTATGTTACTTAATTAAAAGATGTAAAGGGGAAATTAATAAATTAAAAGTTGTAGTTATTATGCTGCTTAATTATAAGCTGTAGAGTTGAAATTAATAAATTAAAAGTTGTTATTATTCTACTTAATTCAAAGCTGTATAGGAGAAATTAATAAATTAAAAGTTATAGTAATTATGCTACTTAATTAAATGGTGTAAAGGGGAAATAAATAAATTAAATTTGTCGTTATGATACTTAATTAAAAGCTGTAAAGGGGAAATTAATAAATTAAAAGTTATAATAGTTATGTCAATTCATTAAAAGCTAAAATAGGTATATGATTAATTCGTGCAAGCGTCGAGCACGCTGGTTTAGACATTTTTTGCTCAAGGTCGGTTAGTGGAAATCCTCAGTCAGATATTATGATGGTCACCGTCCTTGACAAATCGGCCATGGGGAGATTTGAACGCGGGTCTTACGGCGCAGAACGCGCACGTTTTTCCTACATGGCCACGTGCCGTGTGAATGTGGAAAAAAAATTAAATAAAACGTTCTATTACTGAAAATGTTTCAGTTCATGGAGACATGCCAGAGTGGGCAGCAGGTCCACAGAAAATTTATATGTAAATAAGTCAGGGCATTTGAATGCGTCAGCGAGTCTCAGTAATTGAGTGTGCGCATGCGTGAGCCTTTGTACTTTATTTGCATTTTTTTTTTTCTGTTCGGCAACAGCAGCCGACTGGGCAGTTAAGTTTGTCGTGCTTTGTTCTCGCTTAAGTGTACCCAAGGGGAGATAAGCCAATGCTGAAGTGTTTGCATCAAAAGAAAACAGTGAATAATAATAATAATAATAATAATAATAATAAAGCAATCATTTCAAACAAATAACACAATTAAAAAAAGCCATTCTGTGTCATTTCCGAATAACAAGCAAGTGTAAAAAATATGAGTGCATATAAGCCATTAGACAAAACAATTTCTACGGTTACACGACCTGGACAACCGATAACAGGCATATACATCGTCTGGAATTATTCGATAAAAAATGTGCTTGAGGCCATATTGCGTTACAATACCAGCTCCTGTACAATCACTAAAGTTAAGCAATGTCGAGCCTGGTCAGTAGCTAGATGGGTGACCGCTTGCGAATACTAGAGGCTGTACGCTTGAATGTTTGGTGTAATGGATATCAGGGTTGAGAATCGGAGAGACGAGTTAGACATCCGGTCGATTTCGTTACGCGCGAATACTGAAGGAAAAGTTATGTAGCCACCTCTTCTCTCCCCAGATATGGGTTAATTAGTAAGATTTACATCAATAAATGATTATTATCTTTAAAAAAATGTCTTTATAATCTAAAAGTATTATCTCGCTTTAAACAACCCATAAAGGTTGTTAACCCGTAAAAATTGTTCGTGGAAGACAATCGCCTGCAGGGAAAATCGTATGAACGTTAGGGGCTCAAAGGCACAATTAAGAATGTCAACATAAAGACACATGTCTAAAGGACTAATAGATTTAATTTTAATCTGATTTCTATTACTTCAAACAATGTTATAGAGGATACTCTTATTTGAAATAGACGCTTCGTTTTTATTTTTTCAGAAATGTTTGTGGTGGGAAACAATGAGAAGTTATTTTATTTTTGAATTTGATGATATTTCAATTTGATGTTTCCTATTTATTATTATTTCTTATTTAACCCTGTTTGTGCGTATGTATGTGTGCGTGTGTACGTGTGTGTGTGCATTTCACTTCTCTGTGAATCTCAGTACTTAACACACGCGAACACACATTATATATATATATATATATATATATATATATATATATATATATATATATATATATATACAATTATTTATTTAAAAAAATTATAACAAAATATGTTATAAAATCACTACAAAAAAAAAAACCATTTTGTTTCAACAAAATAATTATAACTGCTCTACTCTGTATTGAGCACTCTTTTAAGAATAGTAATTGTTGGTTACTCGAATTCATTCCGTATACACCAATCCTATACTTGGGTATATATATATATATATATATATATATATATATATATATATATATGTTTGTGTATTTAGGCAGCAATCCTTCTTTCATGCACATTCAATTGAACCCGACAAACAAGGTACTTTTATTTAGTTTTTTTTATACAATTTCTCATGCGATCTAATATTTTTTTTCTTTTGGAATGATAAATTATATAAAAACTGTCCGAATGTTTTTTTTATCCGAGCGCTTTCGGCTACACATTTAGACTTTTCAAGGATTAAATATGTTAACTGTTAAATAAGAAATAGTTTGTTGTATGTATCTTTTTAAAATGTTCTCATTTTTCAAAACACGATCAAGATATTATGTCCATGTTCAAAGTTAATATTATTAAGTGTTGGTTTGTTTGTTTTTATTAATAAGGCTTCCATTATTTTTAGTCCTTTTTTGCATGTAGGTGATGCTGTTATGTCAGTGTTGTCAACGGGTATGTTACGAGTAGTGTCCAGTAGGTCTCCATGAATATTTAAATGAGATCTAATTGAGCTATGGTATAAATGTATAGCCGAAAGCGCTAGGAAAAAAGAACATTCGGACAGTTTTCATATAATTTATCAACAGAAAAGAAAATATATATATACATATATATATATATATATATATATATATATAAGGAAGGATGTGTGTGTGTGTGTGTGTGTGTGTGTGTGTGTGTGTGTGTGTGTGTGTGTGTGTGTGTGTGTGTGTGTGCACGGCCGCAATTTTCGACGGATTTGCACCAAAATTTACATGCACATGCTCCAAGTTAGCGGTAAAGGCCAAGACCGATTTTGCATTTCTCAACTCCCATCGATAGTGAAAATAATCGATTTTTTCATACTTCTACGGCAGTTTTCATGTAGTTTTCTGCCATTTTCGACAAGCCAGAGTGAGAGCCAATAGCTGGCTGCCACGAATAGGCAGGAAGATTCTACTGGCCAGCGTGAGAGCCGACCGCTGTCTGACACGAATGTTAACTAGCATGCTAACATGCAAAAAAAGTCGATAGCTGCATTTGTCACAAGTGGGAAAAATTTAAATCTGCATGGCACTTTACTCCAATTGGCTCATTCGCTTGCTTAAACTCAACGTTGATTCTAATTCCGCAGAACTGGGTTGGGTGTGAAAAATTATTTGTTGTTAACATTCTTTTTTCATTCGGTTTTTCCAGTTACGAGTCCTTTTTTAAAGCTGATCGTTTTGTGTTCATTTTGTTTAGTTCTTTTTTCGTAACAGATTTAATGTTTAGTATAGAGCTTAGAAAAAAGTCGCAGTGTGAGATAGGCAAAAAGTAAGGCATGTAGCAACATCAGTACGGCAAAGGGCACTCCTTTAAAAGCAAGGAAGGGCAAAAATATTTTAAGTCAAGTTATAGCGATTGCTGTATGAGTCGTACGATTTTTGAATCAAGCACAGGCAACGCCAGGCCATGCTGCTAGTATATATATATATATATATATATATATGTGTGTGTGTGTGTGTGTGTGTGTGTGTGTGAATATATATATATATATATATATATATATATATATATATATATATATGTATGTATATAGTTGTGACCAAGTAAATGGTTAAGTAACAACAAAAACCAGTTTTGCAGATATATCGTATATTAAACAGTAAGTACGCCAGAAGAGTGTATCGAATGAAACAGCGCTCAATCTGTTCACAGTTCACCTAAGGTCTTCCTCCTACTAAACTTATAGTAGGCGCATTGTCGCCAAACGTTCTTCAGATAAGGCACGTCGGATCAAACGACGGGTCCCTCATCCTAGGCGTGGGGATGGTGACGCAGGTTCGAATCCTGCCGGATATTCTTTTTAATAAGCGTTCTCGAATATTCAGAAAGGTAGCCGAAAATAAATAAATATGCTGTTTAATAAATAAAAGAGCGTCTACTCAAATTTAAGTAACGACGATAAATAACCTATATATATATATATATATATATATATATATATATATATATATATATTGAGAGAGAGAGAGAGAAAGAGAGCAGGAAACAGAGAGAGAGTAAGAGAGAGAGAGAAAAGAGATGTGTAGGGGCGATAGAGGTTAGTAAATGATAACGTCTTGTATTTCTCCGTATCATCACTACATGGATATTTTATTTTTTTTATATATATATATATATATATATATATATATATATATATATATATTCCGACATGTATTATTAAATATAACAGACAATGAATATCTTACGTTTTATCAGGAGCCGTACCATGCATCGTATGGTGGCTTTAATTTCAGGAGAAAATAAATATAAAACTGTCCAACGTTGATACCTGTAGGATATAGTTCCGGTTTCTCTCGCAAGACACGGATAAGCTGTGATACAGCGAAACAGTCTTTGTGTGGATGACAATATACTCGCCCCCAACCCCGGAAACTTTAATTCCGGTCGAGCACTCTGAAAAGAAAGCGCGAATATGTAAACAATGACAACTACTGCTAATACTGCAAAGCTCTTCCATGAATTGAGCCCTCTCGGTTATTGGCCTCTTTATTCGAAGATCGAGGCTTTTTCATCGATGTCATAGTACCAAACCAGTTTAGAAATATCTAAAATGTCTAAATGGCTTTGAGAGAATGAGGCCGGTGGGTCTTTGTCAAAGAACATCCTTCTTTGTGCCATATTTTTTTTTACTGTTTATCATACTGTATTTTTATAATTTATTATATTTGTTATTAAAATTTGATATTCGCTAGGTTTTGAACTTTTTAAAAGTATGTTTATATAAAATACTTTTGGGACCCGGTGAACACATCTAAATTTCTAATTTGGACTATTAGGAAAAAAGTTTGGACAACACTACTCGATAGTATAAATCTATCTCTACCATTTTGACTCTAGCTGTTTCTATCTGTACCTCTTGCCTTCAATATGTCTTTTGAGTGTCAAATTCTCCAAGCACTCTATCCTCATCATGTGTCCCAGAAATGTCTAATATTTTTGTGATTTTTAGCAGAAATGTCTGTTTCGTCCCCATTTTCCTTAAAACTCCTTAATTACTCATATGTTCCATTCATGGCATGCTCACCGTCCTTCTGTAGGACAACATTTCTGTTGTCTGAAGCCTCCTTTTCACCCTTGAAGAAATTGCTCTGTATTCAGTCATATAGTAGGTGTGTTATTTAAATATCTAAACTGTATACAACAACTTTTTAAGATCAACGGTTAAAAATAGATTTGAGTAAGTGAAGCCTGATCTTAGCAAATACGTTTTCGAAACATGTAGATTGGGGCTACACAATCACAAAGAACTGTGCCAGATAACAAAGACGCTTGAGGATATTCAACAGTAGAAATACCTAAAATGATCTGGAATTGCAATGGAAGCAATAATGGCGCATATCCTGATTCTTAAATGTCAGCATGTGGGATTAATAAATACATTCCAAGAACCTACGTGTATGGATCAGTTATAAAAAAAAATAGTAGAACCGATGAGAAAATTGAACATAGAATAGGCTATACAAGTAGTACTTTTGCAAATTACTAAAAAAACGAAAAGCGTTACCAAAACCTCGAGTATACTTTTTAAATAGCTTCCTTAAATCTAGCCTTTCATATAGATATCATGCATCAGACCAAATCTGTTCAGAAATATCTAAACTGTCAGCTGTATACAACCGATTTCTAAGATCAATGTTTAAAATCGGTACTAGCGAACGAAGCCTGTTGGTCTTAGCTATATTATCCTTCTTCGAACCTCATGGACTACACAACTACAAAGATCTATACCAAATAATAGAAACCACATCACTTGAGGACTTTTAACGACAGCAACAACTAAGATTATCTTGAATTGGAATTGAAGCATTGAATGCAATAGCTAGAATGTAACTTGTAGTGAAAATAAGAGCATAACCATGATGTTGAATGTGTACACTGTATCAAGCAAAAGGTTAGGAAAGAAACCGCTGTCTGAACTGAAAAGTGTGATAAAAGCTATTGCACTTTAGAAAACTACTTTCCTCAGAATTTGGTTCAGCAGAAAGTGTTTGTAAATTTCAACCAAGAGTAGTACTGACTGTTCAGTCAATGAATAACGTATGTTTCCTTTTAAAGAAACGGTTATTATTACTGTTAGGATTTCAGTAACGTTATGATA